ATTTTATCTTGAAAACTAAAAAAATCATATAATTTGATACAGAAAAAAATCTCTAGAAAATCATCTAATTTGATACAGATAAAGTATTAAATACTATTAGGAACTTTGAGAATCTTTTGGATGGAGTTATCACCATTTTTAGATACATATTCTCTATTTTAATGTTATTTTTTATTTAATTATAGTTTGAGAATCTCTTGCTAGAAACATTGATGAAGAAACATTGATGAAGGTGGTATTTTGCTACATCTAAAACCCGAACTAGAATTCGAAATGAACCAAAAAAAATTGGGGGACCTCTTAAACGGTGTCGTTCGGAAGACTGACATGGCAAGAATAAATTATCCACAATCGTTCTTTGTGTGTGCTCTCAGTTTCTCTCGGGTCATTCAAATCGTAACACCCAAACAAAAAACCCAAACATCTCTCTACCACTGAAAATTTTCTCTAGCTCTGCTTCAATGGCGTCGTTGCTTGATTCCGTCACCGTAACCCGCGTGTTTACTCTCCCAATCATGAACTCGATTTCATCTGCTTCACCGGTTCCGTCGGTTTCTGGTCGCCGGATTTCTCCGGTCAGGTTTCTGGGATTCAGAGGTTTGAAAGCTTCTCCGAGTTTTGTGACTCAATCGGCGTGTCTCAAGGCGGCGAATCGTAGATCCCGATTCGCTCGCGGCGGACGAATCGCCTGCGAGGCTCAGGACGCTACTGCTGCCGCCGTCGAAGGTATATATATACATCGTAACTCTAAGCTTCTTCTTCTCTCTTATTGGAATTCTGTGTAAAATTGAGCGTTTCGTGATGCTGATTGTGTGTGAAATTTCGTGGTGAATCTGAGACTGTGAGGTTGACTAGGGAGGATCAAATTGATTGTGTACAAGTTTCGTGATTATAATTCAATTCCCTGAAGCTTGGATTCTTTGGAACTGTATTATTGATTGGATAAGTATTCTGGTTAGTCTCATTTGAGGATAGTTGTTCAAAGCCATAAATCATCTATCAAAATTGCTTCGATTCTGGTCTGTTATATTCTCTGAAACTAGAATTCATAGGGATTGGAACTGTAGATATGAAACCTTGCACATATTTTGGTCATTTTCTTTTGAGGGTTCAACTACTAAGTTTTGCGTTCTGTTTTGAGTTATATACTAATTTAAAGTATCAAGATTCTTATCACTTATCAGGAACTTTGCTTTGATAGATGACTTGATACTTCAAATTAGCATATGGTTCGATATAGTAGTTCAGTTTCTTGGGCGATGGAGTAATGGCAAAGAGTAACTCTCTCTAATTTGGAATTGAGAGTGATCTAACTTGTTTGTGTTTGATGGTGCAGTACCAAACCTGTCTGATTCAGAATGGCAAACACAGGTTCTCGAATCAGATGTCCCAGTTATGGTCGAATTTTGGGCACCGTGGTGTGGACCGTGCCGTATGATTCACCCCATAGTTGACCAACTAGCCAAGGATTTCGCAGGGAAGTTCAAATTCTACAAAATCAACACCGACGAGAGCCCAAACACGGCGAATCGGTACGGGATACGCAGCGTTCCGACCGTGATGATATTCAAAGACGGTGAGAAGAAAGACAGTATCATCGGAGCTGTACCTAGAGAGACATTGGAGAAAACTATAGAAAGATTCTTGGTCGTCGAGTAAAACAAAACAAACTTGAACTCTTAAAATTTGCCACTCCATATCTTTCTCTGTTGTAATTTTAGTAAGGTCTTTTGACTTATGATGATGTACTTGTCTGGTTTAATCAACAC